GTCCTTGTAATATGCTGCAGAGGGACATAAATATGACAGAGCAAAACCTTAAAATTAATTTTTACTGAAATTACATTTTAGCATTAACTAGTCAAACATTGAGAGCTATTAGAAAGATAGTGTTAGATTTAGTATTAGTATCAAAAAGAGAAGATACTTGAAACACCTAAAATAATGCATTCACTGTCATATTGTCCCCTCCACAATTTACCAAAACACAAAATAGAACAGGAAAAAAATAATAGAAATAGCTTATATGCTTTCCGTTATCAGTCTTATGTAAAAGAAAATTGTTTCAAACAAGGAAAGAGTTAATTTCTTTGCCTTATTTCTAAGTGTATTAAATTATATCTCACAGATAAAAAGGCATATATTACTATTGTGTAACTGAAAAGTTCATACAGATTTTCATATTTTACAAAATAACTACTTTAGGTATGCTAAGTGATGATTTAAATATTCTGTGTGGAGAGGGGGTAGATTAAAGCCACATGCATTAAGAAACCACAAGATAAAATAAAAATATTTACCATTTATTGAGTGAAGTGATATAAACTGTGCTATTTAAGCTCTTTACACATACTAGCTCATTTCACAACAAATCTGTGAGATGAATAATATAATTATCCCCATCTTGCTGATTATAAAAATAGATGCTCAGAGAAACAGAATTTGTTCTCAAACTTGTATGGTATTCGATCTCTATCAAGTTCCTGACTCTCCATAATTTAGATCAAGGTTACTTCATCATATCTAAGGGATGGACGACATGATCTCTAAGACCACTTCTGGCATTGATTCCATGACTAAAAACAGAAATCAGTTCATATAATATTTGTGACATGTGGTCCAGGCCGCAAGGGGAAAACTATCAACAGATGAACCAATTAATAATAAGAAGAGAAGAGGGCAAAAACTAAAAAGAAGAGGAGGAAAAGAGCAATATTTTACTAGACATTAGGGCCACCGTGACATGAGTGGGAAAGGAGAACCTGGAGTAGGAACTGAAAGTAAAGCTGTAACACAAATAAAAATAGCTCAGCCCACTGATGGGATTACCTCACAGCAGGCAAGGAAGGAGCTGTGTGAAGGCCTTGCAGAAGTCAGTGGCCATGAGCTTAATGCTGCATGAAGATGCAGAATTCTAACATAAACACTGGTCAGTAAATAGGAATAGTTGAGTATAGATGACTGACCACTAAATTTCTAGAAGAGGCATGACCACAATGGTCATGCATTTGGATCAATCTGAAATGATAATACTATGAGAGTGTGGTTTTAGGACAGAGTGGGGAAGAAACCAGCACTACTCTATTACTTTCCTTAAGTTCCTACCGTATTCTAGGCACTGTGCATGTGCTTTCATGGGTTACCATATCTGGCCCTCAAAACAACCTTGGTAGAAGTGATGGTTAATTTTACATGTCAACTTGGCTGGGCTATAGGGTCCAGATATTCTGGATGTTTCTATGATGGTATATTTTTGGACAGGATTAACATTTAAATCACTGGACTTTGAATAAAGCAGATTTACCCTCCATAATGTCGGTGGACCTCATCCAACCAGGTGAGGGCCTGAATAGCAAAAAAAAAAAAAAAAAAAAAGACTGACCTCTCCTGAGCAAGAAGGAATTATACAAGTAGGCTCTTTGGTCTCAAATTGCAACTCTTCTCTGGGTGTCCAGCCTGCCAGCCTCCCCTGTAGATTTTGAACTTACCAGGCCTTCATAATCACATGAGCTAATTCCTTAAAATAAATCAATCTCTGTGAAAAGAGAGACACACAGACACACACAGACACATTCTATTGGTTCTGTTTCTGTAGAGAAGTCTGATTAATACAATGAATACTGTTTCCTAAGTCACCACTGAGGAAAATGAGAGCCTCAAAGGACCCATTCCCTTTTCCCAGTACATCACATAGTAAAATGCTCTCAGTACTCAAATTCTACTGTGACAGGCTTGGGTGAGAGATGAAGAATAATGAGAAGTAGGGAAACATTGTAAACACAAGCCATGGATTCCAAGGAGTCCCTTACAACACTGGCATCACGCATGTGCCCAAAGCCTGGATGTGACCAAGTGAGGTACTATCCTTTCTCTGGTCTCCCGATTCAGTTACTTCAGATAAGAGAAATCAAATATTCCTACTAAATCAACAACATTTGAAGACTCTGAAAGAAAAGAAAAAATAATTAGTAAAGAATAGAAGTAAAAGATGAAAATAAAAATAAGTGATTTGTGTCAATTAAATGATGACAGACTTTGCCTTGTTTAGGCTTTTTTGGATAGTCATTCATTCACTCCCTCCACAAATATGTATTTTGTACTTTATAATTTTTATGGGCTCCTCTGGGTACTAGAGTGTGCTATCTAGGTATGGGGGACACACCAAAATAATAAGTCTGCAGAGCGAAAAAAGATCAACTAAGTTGTCCTAAAGTCAAGAACACTTCACAGAAGAGGGGACATTTCAGTTGGGATACAGGTATGAGTTTAACTTTAGGAGAAGAGACATGGTATGCCAGATAGAATTTTTAACCACTGTAAAATTCAAGTGAGTCTACATTCTATGTTGCTAAAAGTATATGTGTGTGTTGGGGGGCAAAGGAGAGGAAAAGGCCTCCCCTAAGGCGTTTTTACCCAGACCATAAATGGAGCTTATGTTCATATAAGGATAGCTGGGAATAGCTTTGTCAACTGGACAGATATAACTACAGATAAAGAAAATCATTACAAGGTTTTATAAAAATTAAGCCTTGAATAAAAACTGAGCCTTACAGTTATAATAATAACATTTATTTTTAAAAGGCATAAAAGCACACTGAAACTAAAATTACTCTGTATGTTAACCATCTGGAATTTAAATAAAAACTTGAAAAAAGAAAAAAATAAAAGGCATAAAAATATTTCATGTGCTCTAACTAAAAAAAAAAAAAAAATCAAGTTGAGTTTATACAGACATGGTAAGTCCCAACTAAAAATCTACAGTCCAGAATTGGTAACTACTATAACTATTATTATGCAATAAATACATATGTGGAAGTTTTCTCCAAAAAATGAAATAAAATTCAATTGGAACTTATGTAATGGATATTATTATTATAGTAATAAATAAACATGTGGGATCTGTGTCCTAAAATACAAGCTAAGCCAGAGGGCAAAGGTGGCTGAGTAAAGCCAAACAGATTTTGCAAGCCACCAAGAATGGAAAAAGAATTGATCTTAAATTATGTTTCTAAACAGTAAAGTGGTCAAAAAAGTAATCTATAATGAAGGAATATAAATTAAGTGCTCACAGATCATTTGGTCTCTCCCACCTTTTGTTCCTTTTCAGCTGCTAGTTCTCTTTTTCATCATTTTTAAAGAGATTTCAGACACCCTCATTCCAATAGTTTCCCTTCAATTTTACTTTACTGATAAAACTCTGCAAATAGTCGTATATAAAATACAAATATATAAAACACACCAAAGCATAAAGTTCAGGCTCAAAGAGTTCGGGGAGAGAGAGGTTACTGGAGCACTCTCACTTGGGCCTTCACCTACCACCTCTCTGAGATAGCTTCCCAAAGAGTCATAAATTTTGCTCAATACAGTGTGTAACATGTCATTCCTTGTTCAAACCGCTCAATTTGTAAATGAGGAAGTCATAGCCTAGAGAGTGAATTTAAATGAGCTGCTTGAGAAAAAGGCCCGTTTCCTGGTGTCGCTGCTGAAATTGAAATGCTTTCTCTTCCTCAGAAACTCTAATTTAAATTTCCGGGTTAAAAGTCATTTCTTATCAGTTACAAATTCATGCACCCCTTCTATCCCAAATTCCTATTAAAATTCACACAGGTCAATAAGCCGAACTTTAAAAAGTGTCTACTCGTGGTCTGATATTCTGCTAGGGACATGTTATCTGTTTTCATTCAACCATCACCAAAGCCCCAGATCAAGAAACTGGGTTCAGAGAGGTACTGTATCCTTCCCAAGGTCACGGAGCTAGCAGAGTGGAATGCTGATCTATGCTACTCCAAAAGCCAAACCTCAGACTCTTGCATTCTTTCTAATCTAAAACTTTCCCAAATCTTTGCCTACCTTTACACAGGCCCCCAGAAATAGAGAATTGTAAGGGATCCTGTCATTTCATACAGGATGTACTTTTCCATCCAGACTTGTAGAGTGCCTCATGCTTCAGCCAACACAAAGGCATCAAGCCTACTTTAAACTCAATCTTCAGAACCATATAAATGCCACCCCCCAGCCCCATGCTGACCGTCAAATCCTGACATAACTCTACAACTTCCTTTACAAGTATGGGTTACATAAATGTTCAGTCTTATGGAAAATAGGAAAAGTTAAAAACCTTTTTTTTTTTAAGTTTATTTTGAGAGTGGGGGAGGAGCAGAAAGAGAAAGAATGAAACAGAGAATCCCAAGCAGGCTCACGCTGTCAGCACAGTGCCCGATGTGGGGCTCCATCTCAAACCTGAGATCATGACCTGAGCTGAAATCAAGAGTCAGATACTTAAAGGACTGTGCCACCAAGGAAAGGTTAACAACTCTCAACAAAAGGGCTACAAAATCAACTTTGAGCTGAGGATGAGATGACAGACTGGTGTTTTACGCTGAATACTAAATATTATCTAATAAGATATTGGAAGTGTGTACTTAACGGCGGCATTGGGACAAAGGATGGTTGTCACTACCAGTAGGAGCCAGAGTTGGCATTAAATAATTTTAATTTGATGGGAAGTCAAATTACGGAAGAGAGTGGGGAGCCAGAGCTGATATTAAAGTACTGGTAATGGGAGAAGAGATTTTAAACAGAACTGGGGCTTGGTGCCACCCTCTGGAAACTGTGAGCCCAAGATTAGACAAGTCCTAGGCACCAGGGGTCTGAAACTGTGGGTGGGCTCCGGTGCCTCAGCTGGGGTGGGTTAGGCCCGGTGACCTGGGAAGCCCCAGGGGGACTGGGAAGCCCCAGTGTTCTACCACGCCCGCCCCGCCTCGCCTTACCTTCTGTTGGAGGTAGTGAACCGTGTACTTCGTGGGTACAGCAGGGCGGGATGTGAAGCTGGCTGACCTGTGCAGATTGCTGAGGGCCCTCAGGGCCAGCGGTACGGGGATGACCTCCCGAAGCGTCAGGAAAGCCAGGAGCAGGAGCAGGACAGTGTGGCGCCCCATGGCCAGGGTGGCAGCTGCAGAGTGAGTGGGAGCGAGACCAGCAAATGCGGGGAGCTAGAGTCCTAAGCTCCACCCACCGCAGATGGGCTCCTCCCCCGTGAAACCCAAAGCCACTCTGCCCCACAGCAACACAGCCCAAACCTGGTAACCTAAACCACACCGCCCGCGTCCCAGAAGGTGCCGCAACTTTTCTATTTTCCTCCCGTGCAGTCTCTCTCTTTAGAGTCCACCTTAATTGCGATCACACTCCAAGTCTGCCCTTACCATCTCAGGACCCCTCCTACCTGACTGCCGGAATCCCATCCTTTCCTTGAGCGCTCCCCAAGCCCACCTTTCTCTGCCATGCCCTGTCTGCCTCAATTCCACTGCCACACCCCTTGCCCTCAGCAAACCCCATATAATGGTAATAATAATAGCTACCATGACAATTTATTGAGCGTTCTTTACATGTCACTATTATCGCTAGGCATAATGGCACACATACCAACTCATTTAACTCAAGCAGCGCAGCAATCTTGTGTGTCCTGTATGATTACTACTCCCATTTACAGACGAAGAAACTGAAACTCCGAGAAGTGTGGGGACTTGCACTGGGTGACTCAGGAGGCAATGGAGCACAGCTTCGCAGACCACTCGGTCTGGCTCCTTGCACCCACTTCCAGTATGTTAGCCAACCACCTCCTGTGGTACTCTCTGTTCATGAATCACCCAAATTTCTATGTTGCCCAAATAACTCATCCCATAACGGGAGTCGCCCAGGTAGCCCCCGAATCCCGCTTGGTCCTGGGCCCTTCTCCCAGGATACGCCCCCCTTTCTTCTCCCGGCTCCGGGTAGCCTCCCTTCCGTCTTCACCGCGCCGCCAACCCCTTTCGGCCAGCTACCACTCCTCCTTCCAGTCACCCTGCTGAACCCCGATTGGAGAGGCGCTACCACCCTTTCCTGAGATTCCTATGCTACCCCCCAAACCAGCTTTATAGACTGTGCCCCTACCCCACCAGTCAGGGAAGAACATTCGCCAAACCCTGTCTCTCTACTCGCAATTCGATGAAAATGGTCGTACCCGAATGCTCACAGAACGCAGTGTTCAATCTCCACCCTCTGCGGCGCCTTCTTCTGATTGGCTCTGAGGGACCAAGGCCAAAGCGTCACTTCCTGCGGAAAAGGACGCGGGAGATTCAATTCAAGGCGCTTGGCTGGTCGCTGAGTCCTGGTGGCCTGCGCCAACGAGCGTCGCCCGGGCAGGTCTCGGTTCTGTGTCTCAGGTGAGGAGCTGTGGGGAGAGAGTCACGGGGCGCGCAAAGGGCGAGGCCCCTAACGAAGCCTTCATTGTTGTTATAAATGAGACTTACAGCATTCTATTTTGTTTCTTCGGGAGTTAGTCTTTTCCGTAAAACAGTGGTCGGGAGGGTAAAGGGTAAAAAGGTCGGTCATTTAAATTTTAGTGCTGTTGATAACCGCTCAGCGAACGTTTACTCAACATTTACTGTGCCATCGAGCTAGTTACGGGGGAGTGTCTGGAACCGGTAATACGAAGAGGAAAAGTACTACTCCAGCTTTTGAGGTGCTCAGAGATATGGTTTTAGCAGGCTGCTATGACGAGTAATACGTACGGAAAGGGAGTCTTTTCCAAACCTCTTTGACAGCCTGGAGGGAAAAGTGCTTCGCTTAAGTGACCAGTGTGCTCAAACCAGAAACTGGCAATTTTCTAGACTCCTTCCTTATCTCCTATCCAGCCACTCATTACCAGCCTCTTAAATATCTCAAATCCTTAAAGTTCTCGCCACTTAAGTCATCAGCCTCCCAGCGAGTCTTCTTTCAATCATGTTACTTTCCAATCCAGTCTCCGTATTGCCAGGCTATATGTAAATCATATCTGATCAGGGCACACACCGCCCCCCCCCCTTAAAGCCTTTCCTTGCTTCCTATTTGCCCTCAGGTTTAAGTCTAAACTCCTTCACATGTTTTACAGGGTCCTTCTCACCTAGCCTTTGCCTACCTCTCTTTGTTTTTCACCACTCTAGGCTCCAGTCCTACGAAATGCCTTTTTTGAGTTCCTCAAATGCACCTTCCCATCTCACCTGCAGACCTCTTCTAACCCCATCCCCAACGTAGCCAATTCTTAAAAGTCTCAGTTTATTAAGCCTTTTCAGTCAGGAAGGCTTTACTGCCCTGCAAGATTGGGTCACAAAATATCCAGTAGTTATTCCATAGATAGTTGTAAGTGCCTCCCTCTGCCAAGAATTGGTAGGCCCTGAGATTACAATGGTAAAGAAGTTAGATTCTTCACCTAATGGAACTTAAACCTTTTATGCAGGGAGTTAAGGATAACAGGGCAATCTGATGGAGTTAGGTTGGTCTGGGAAGGCCTCCCTGAGGTCTTAAAAAACAATTCAGCCAAGTAAATTTGAAAATGAATTAGCTTTATTAAATGATTCAGGCAGCATCTTATCTAGAAAGTAGAAGGGAGCTCTGAAGAGTTGTACAAAATGGAAGGTTTTTATAGGAAGGAGAGTGAGGCAAGAAAATTATTACAAAAAAAAAAAAAAAAAAAA